GGGGGTGGAGAACTGAAAAGTACCTCAAAAAGTTTCCCCCTCGATATGAGGAAGGACGCCACAAACCGCAAATCGATATCATAATTAGAACTAAAGTTATGGCCAGTGGTGCGTAACTTTTGAATAACCCTGTATGTTGAAACTCGTCCAGTATTTTGTGGGCTTTTTAATTGGGCTAGTTTAATGAACAAAAATACGTGGAGCAAAATTGAAGATTTTTTTTGTCTTAAGAATAGTTAAAAGTATCAAGTTAACATAAGAATGAAGTTACTACTCATCATCCCATGGAGAGGAGAAGTGGGAAGAGAAATGACAGGATCATGGTCCGATCGGTCAGCAATCAGTGATGTGCTGATTTCCTCTCTTTCATCTTGAATTTTATTATCAACCTGACGAATAATGGATTTTTGCATTTTCATTAAATATAGGCTGGAAAGTTTACATATGACTCAGCCCTACCCCCCAGCCCCCCTTGTAAGGCACCGTAAAGCTCCTAGGACCCCCCTCCCTCTGAGAGCTTTACGTACTTTACGGACGGCCCCATAGTTTAAGTTCGTTGGTATGAGAGAGATGCAGATATTTGCGCTAACCTCAACATTGAATTAGTGGAGGAGTACACGTTACAGAAATGCACACCTTCAATGAGACTCGACTTCATTGGCATCCTAACCCTGAAGCACATGCTTTCTTGGAGTTAGACCAATGTAGAAGGCGGTTAAAACGTAGAAGTCCCATGAGTTTGGTATCCAGGGGTTTACAAAATTTTTCCCTCAGAAAAATAGAAGAATCGAGGTGCTTTCCCATGCTTCTTGAACATTATCGCGGGTTCTTTGGTCTTTGACCGGTTCCAGTCGTCAACAAATCAGATAAAGCAAAAAGACATGGTTAATTAGTATTAATTCTGTGTTTATTTTCTTCTCAATCAGAGGTAGTATTAATTATTTCTTACGGTAAAAATTTCAACTTATAGTTAAGTGTACATTCAACGACTTAATTAATCTTTTAAAAGACATGTAAAACGTCTAAATGTGTTCCCTCGTACATATTTTGTCTGTGCAAATAAAAAAAAAATTGCAGTTAAACTTCTTGCCCAAATGCACAATAGGGCCTCAAAATTTTTCCACAAGAATGACTGACCTGTGATTGGTCTTAAGTCTAGACTTGGCAATACTTTCCCCAAACCGGTGATTTACATGATATGACTTGTTAAAATATGAACACTATTTATTCTCAATCTATTATTACATTCACTTATATTCAAACACCTGAACAAACTTTGATTATACACAATGGACATACCTGTTCCGCTTCATTTTACAGACACTATGGGATATCACGTGCATCTAAATGCCTAAAGAGGCTTTTGAAAATCTTCTTTTATTCAGTTTTCGTACCAGAAAACTTCTCTGATGAGTATTTGTTTCTTACCCTTTAAAAATAAATTTAACTTATAACTTGATTACTAACCTCAAAGTAAGAGTTTTTCCTCTCAAAAATTTAAGCAGAATTAAGTTTCACATCACAAAGTTTTCTCCTGATACCTTAAATTAGCTGGAAAATGGTTGGGTACCTTTCGGCAGTGAGGTACTGGTATACTTGCTGTAAATTTTGGGTTTGCAGGGGTTCAAAGCTAATGGGTCAGTTGCATTGGTCATTGAATCATGTTTTGATGATTGATTCTTGTAGATTAGCTCAAAATAATAAAATTTGTCCAGATAGCAACTTCCTGCATCCAATATTAATAGAGATATCACACTTTGAAAAGTCGGGTTTTCGACATCATCCACCACAGTATAGACACTCTTAGTGAATTTCTTCGGCTTTTGTTCAATTAGTGATGCAGAAAGCACAATGCGAAACTTCAACGACATTGAACATAAAAAAACTGTGGTGAACTGACTGACCAGCTAAACTCTTTGTGTCAAATGCGTTATTCCCTGATAAGAAGATTCTAGAAGTGCGAATCCATCTGTTTCTTGAGTTTGAATAATATTTAATGTCGTTGAAGTTTTGCATTGCGTCCTCTGCATCACAGATCGAACAAATGAGTGAGAAACGAAGAGTGTCGCTACTGCGGTGGATGACTTCAAAAAACCTATCTTTTCAAAGTACGATGTCTCTGTTAATATTGAATGTAGAGAGCTGCTGTTTAAACAGATCTTATTATTTCTAGTTGATCTACTATAATCAAACATCACAACGCGATTCTGTGACCAGTGCAGCGGACTCATCAAAGGGATTATTAATTGATGCGGATTTTTTACTTTTAGTACATGTATTACTTTTCTGAAAAGGTTGAATATTTCAGTTTACAAAAAAATTAAAAAACTTGAAACATCTGATTGTTTGAAGGTTGTTAGGTGAGCAACTGAGTGATCATCAATGGCGAACTTAAACCTTTGACGAACCAGATCCTTGATTCACTCTTAATCTGATTGCCTACAGAAGGCCTTGGCCTGGACACATTTTTAATTAAAAACAAGCTGAGCGGGAAAACCTTTGAATGGATAGCTAATGACGAAAAATGCAGAACTTCACTTGAAATCTTCGTTTAAAACGCTCCTACTATGTAATATTTATTTATAAATTTTTTTTCAAAATGGGACTACCCTGAGAATATCCATAAATTTATCCGTTGAACATAGAGAATGAACGACAAAAATTAAAAGAAAATCGAGGCGGAATATGCTGCTTACTGTTCTTTTGAAAATTAAATCCAAAGCACAATATCCAAATCATAGACCAAGGGTCAGCAGTGACTTCAAAATTTCAATTAAGGAACAAATGCATGCAGGAAAGGAACTAGAGGAATCATAGATGGATTTGTCGCTTGGTTGTGCAAATAACAGCCTCAAAAATTTCAAGACGACATCAGCATATACATGAAGGAAAAATGCTCATTTTGGTGGTTAACACTCTTTGTGTGTAGATAAATTAACTCCATTTGAATTTTTCAGTCACCCTTTAAATGGTAACCAATTGTTCAACTGATCAAAAAGACATTGCATTGCATTGAAATTTTAGTGCGTCTCTGCGGTTTTTATATCAAAATAAAATCATGATTTTCTACTTTAGCATACCTCTCGCTAAATTGTAAAATTAACTTTTCCCTCCAAGAAAATTCTATCATACCCTCTCATTATGTTGTTAAAAAAAATACCGAAATTTAATTTAAAATTTTACTGTGTCTTTTTGATGACAGGAAAAAAAGACAGAAAAATTCAATGGTTACATCAAAATCAAGAATCACATTTCGACTGATTTGGCGCAAACTTTTACTTAATAATGATAGCATTTCAAATTCTTGAACTGCCTCTTGAACCTTGAGAGGCTATAGAGTTGCTAGGTGAAGTATTTCGAGTTCTCCGGGTTGATTTGATAGGTGTTGGTGTTGTATTACGGTCGACAGACCTTCGAGATCTGCAACAAAAAGTAAAAATGAGCTAACGTAAAAACCTGACGGAAAATTAGTAAAATATCTTGACTAGAGAAGTAAAAGTTTTTTCTTGAAGTGTTATGCTAAAGACAATAGTATAGATTGATTTCCCATTAATAACTCAATTAAATGAAATATTAGGGGAGAGTCAACATGATGGATGTAATGAACAAGAGGACAGGAGAGAAATTGCTCAGGAACTAAATTAAAGCTATGAGCACATACGATGTGTCCAAGGAATTTACATTCTACTTCTGATTTTGAGGACTTACCTCAAATTACCTAAGTACTTAAATTAATTGAGGCTTATAAGGAAAATAATTCATTTATGTAATTTGCAAAGAGGGAAAGCTTTCACGATGTTAGGAGGGTTCTCTGGAATCAGGGAATTTCGGAAAAAAATAATCGGTGTCCCTGTTGTCTGTATTCCTGCCCTCTACATATCCTTGTCAAACAAAGGCAAATCTGTTCAATTCTTCAATTGAAAAAGTTGTGTCCTTCTGCTTAGGAGTTTAATTATACTGCAAGATGCTATAAATTCAAAAAAATTAAGTGGATTGATCGGTTAAAATGTATGAGTTCTTTTAAGTCTGATATAGTTCAACACGGAAGCACCTTCCTAGTGTTAAGCTCTGGTAAAATATGCACTTCTCAATTGTCTCATATTTTTATTTCTTGACCATCATAATTTGCAAAACTCGGCATATATGAAATTTTCACTTTAGTTCGGTATTTCTGGTAACTAGTTATTCTATTATCATTTTTAAATTTGGAACTAAGAATGAACAGTCAAGAAGTGAACTGTCAGTTTCCGAAGTGAATTACTGATTTTCAGACACTTAGCAGCAGGCAAGTGCGCGGTAGTGATGCGCGTTGCGGGTCGAGGAGGGGCAGACAATCATTAAGCAGTTTTTTCCTCCAAACTGGCTCAGAGCCGTCGTCGCGCAGCACCGCATGGTGGATCGAGTCAAAAGTAGAGGTCGGTCATGGGTGACGAAAAAAAAGCTGGATTTTAAACAGTTCTTCTTGGTTTTCTAGTAGGTAAGCCTCCAAATGAATGTATCCATGATTCAAGGGTTTTTGAACCCTTCCGCTCTGACATGCAGGTTGCCTAAAGTTGACATTGCAGGAGGTATCAAATTTGTCGTCTGATTCTCAAGGTTTTATTTCGCTTTTGCACAAGTTCTGTGGCAGATTAATCAAAATTTCAATTATACATGTTAATTCTCCTCTCTCTAAGGAACATTTTGATATATCATTAATGTGCATTAGAATATTTTTAGGAGGCCCAAAACCACCTACAAAACTTTCTTTTAAAAAAACGCCCAAAACAATGTTAAGATAGCTCGATAAAAAAGTGTCCTTAAGATTCTGCAAAATCCTTTGTTGGATCCTTTTTTTACTTCTTGTATACTATCAGGAATGAAATTATGTAATAATCAGCCGCCAATATCCGCTAATCTGCGAAAACAGTCCATTTGAACGATAGGAGGTCGCTCCTGCTGGGAACCAATCTTGCTGTTATGTCATCAATAAAATCGTGCATCTCACAATATCCCTCAATCTCAGTAATATCTGATTTTGGCCGATTTGTTGATATTTTGACGAGACATTAACCTCCTGTTAGTCTATGAAGCTAATTCGATCAGTGTTATACTGTGCGATAAAGTTTACGGTGTATGTTTTGCGCATTGTGTATTTCACATGTCCCGTTTCATGCGAAAAGTCTCCAACATACCTAGAACTCTTCCATGAGCTCCATACAAATAAGAAATCGGTTTAGGGTTGAAAAAGAAGAAATACAAGAAATTTCTTTAAGAGACATTGGTCCTTTTCAGAGGTTCTTCAAGGGATCAGAGCCTGCATGAAAAATAAATTTCCTTCTATTTTAATAGTTTTGCAATAAAAATGTTTCAGAATTCACTCCAAACTTCAAGGAACAAAACGAAATAATGGAAGATGTCAGATTTAATTTTTTTTTTTTTTTTTTTTTTTTTTTTTGGAATTGGAATGAAAATTGGAATGGAATTCGGATTCCTTGGGGTCGATTCCCTGTTCAAACCCGCGATCCTGGACTTCGTGCGACCTACATTAACCGAAAAAAAGGCCTGGTACGGTAGGTCTGGGCCACCCTGTATATCCCGTAGTTTTTCTTTCAGCGAATCGGGCGGCCCGAACAGTCGCTGCTGGGAGATTCAGGCTTCTCCGCGGTGCAACGATGCTTTCGTGGTTCTTAAGGGAGAGGAGGACTGGACATCAAGCTCCCTACCATTGCCCATGCTACAGATCGCTAGGTGCCAAAGTCTCAGTAAATTGTTGGGCTACTTCTTTAAAATGAGGAAGAGGGTCGAGGGGAACGCGCCATGCGAAGCACAGACACTAACCCGTGTAAAACACTCCTCCTCCACGGCTAGGTAGGGGAACACTTGAAAAGCCGGCATTACCATCGGCTCAGCCGATTCGGCTGGGGTTGATTGATAACTTAGGGTTGTCTCTGAGTTGTTATTTCCGGGCAAAATGCGACTTTGCCGAACTGCAGTTAATAGAGATTCGTAATCACCTAAAATCAGTGAGAAGAGAGGTACACGTATGCGTAGGCATAGATGGTCATAGTTTGAGGCGCTTCAACCTGCAGCACGCGCCAATCAAAAGGAGGAGGCCGACCCGGGGGGCAATTACTTTTGAGTCACCTTCGAAAGTTAGTCCGGGATTTTCTTGCAATGTCCTTCCAGCCGCATTTCTAATGGATTTAAGTAGAACCGTTGATGGATACCGTGCTCTAAAGCTGATTAACAGCAAATCCAAGGAACCATATGACACATATGCAACATGGCTACAAGCGCCTAATGTTCGTGCGCCGGATTTGCAAGTGCAGTAGTGTCCGATAATCTTTTTTGTTTCATCCAGGTCTTCTTGACCATTCGTGGATCTATACGCGATGAATATTTGATGTTTCGTGGCGTTTTGGAACCTAGAGAAAGCCCGTACTCGCAAAAAGCCGGGCTCATGAATGTTACGGTCGACCTGCAACTCTTCGTCGTCATCTCTTTGGAGTTTGTCTTGGATGTACGATCTGATTAGAGAATACGATCAGCAGATAATAAGATGGCTGATAAGGTGGTGCTGCAAGTTGGAGCGACTCAAAATGTGACCATTTACGCCTGAATGGACATCTCTCTTCCTTGAGTTCAGTTATCAATGATCCCTCTCTCCTCCTCCATTGGTGCGGTTCGGCTAAGTTAAGACTAAGTCAAACTTAGTTCCTACTTGGGCATCATCAGCCGACTGATTCCTTTCAAACTCCTCCACGTGATTTAAAAAAAAAAGAAAAAAGAAAAAAAAGGAAAACCTCAACATCATCTTCCAACAAAGGGTACTTTCACTGCCTCCACATGAGAAAAATGAAGGGGAAAAAAGAAAGAAAAGGGGGAAAAAATAAAAAAAAAAGTTTCTTTCATTTAGCGGTCTCTTAGGCATTCCAACTCTTCTCCGTACTTTCGCATATGGATTATCATTTGTTTTTCCTCTCTTTTTTTTCTCTCTTTTCGTATTATTTGTGATATTAACATCATCATGTTTAGTCAAAATGGACTTCTTAAACGTTTTTCAAGACTTAGAGGAAGGATCGATGAGAAAAAGAGGCGACATGGCCGAAGAGGAGGCCGCATAAGAAGACAGCGTGCGGGCGCGGTCCGGTAATGATGGTCGCAACCTCGTGAGCGTCGGAGTTGGAGCGGTAGAGGAGCCAAGGTATGGGTGGCGGGGCAGCGGAGAGGGGTCGGAGAGGACTGGAAGGGAAGGGCACGAGCGGCGCCGCACAATGGTGTGGCTTCCGGCGGGAGCGCGCGAAACCTCCGTTTACGCACATAAAACGGCGAATATCTCGAAAACCGCACATGGGATCTCTTTGAGCCCCTCAGAGCTTTTGTTTTATTGATCAGAATGACGAGCTGAATAACATATCCAAGCGTCATCGCGTTTGACTGGGGGAGATTTCCCATAAGGAAGGTGCGGGGTTCTCTCTGTAGGAGAGGGGTAAACTTCTTTACACAAAGCATCAAAGAATGAACACAGTCTGCAAGTCTGCGGAAGTCTCGGTACTGAGCTCTGATGAAGAGCACAATTGAATTTGCTGAGACACTATCTCATTCATTCAGTAATATTGATAGTTACCAAGGTTTTGCTAGGATTGCTTCTGATGAATGCCATGTTACAGAGCCTACCAATAAAATTTCCTGAGACTAGTAAAACTTGCAGGTGAATCTGCAGTTATCATCTAACGCATAACCGTGGTTCTCAGGAAATATTCAGTGGCCCAGCTTACCTGTCGATGACTTTTAAGGCTCCCCTAAACGGTTGATTCCTTATTGGGAGTTGCTGGGGTCTTAAACATTGTGAACAAAGTAGCGACAAACCCCTGAGAAAGTGGTCAGGACTGCTAACGTATTAAGAGAAACGAGACCTACTTATTAACACTTAAATAGACAGGCGACTCATACAGAATCACCTGTTTCGACCGCCTCTAATTAGCTGGTGAGATCAAACATCTGATCTTTAGTGCGCAAGTAGTGGGATATTATGTGAGAATAAGTATGAGGTGTCCAAATGACATGGAAAGTGCAGAAACAAATAAATTAAAGAAATCAAAACACTGTAGAATAGCAACTCCACAAAGTGCAGTTACAAATAAATTAAAGAAATCAAAACACTCTAGAATAGCAACTCCACAAGGGTAAACTGTGACAGATGAAAGGACAAGACTTGAAACAAATCCTGAAGAACAGAATAAAAAAACTCAAAGGAGGGTCATTCCATTGTTACAGGTGTGACAACAATTTAACTTTAAACAAGAATTTGGACACCTTCTTGGAGTTTAATTAACAAAGTATCTGCACTAGCAGAAAGAACTTTTTTTATAAATCATTACAGTTCATCAGAAATTGTTTTTACTTAGTTCCATTCCTCAGAAAAAATTAAAAGGCTG